TGGTCAAGCGGGTGTTACGGTATATCAAGGGCACTCTTGACTATGGGTTGCGTCTCGGACCGTCACTGACTACTACTATTCATGCCTATTCTGACTCGGACTGGGCTGGCTGCCCGATTGATAGGAAGAGCACGAGTGGCTATGCTGTCTTCCTAGGGTCTAATCTTGTGTCATGGCTTTCTCGGAAACAGCGCACGGTAGCTCGTTTATCCACTGAGGCAGAGTATAAAGCGTTGGCAGACGTTGCAGCCGAGGTTACTTGGATTGTCTCTCTACTGCGTGAGCTAGGCTTACATTCTGGTCAGCCGTCGCACTGTGGTGTGACAATTTAGGTGCGACCTACTTATGTGCGAACCCGGTTTTTCACGCTCGGACAAAGCATGTTGAAATTGACTATCACTTTGTTCGTGACAAAGTGGCTTCAGGAGATTTTGTGGTCAACTTTGTATCGACTAAAGATCAGCTTGCAGACATTCTCACTAAGCCGCTCACAGGGCTCAGATTTACTACTTTAAGAGACAAGCTCAATGTTGTAGCTCACTAACCTTGTGCTTGAGGGGGTGTGTGAGTGTTACTATTATTATTGTAATTAATAATGTATAGTCTATAGTAGTAATGTGTGGTATTAGACTTAGCCTTTATATTATATCCTATCTCTTAGGAGTGTTTAGAAGTTCAGTTGGATATACTCTCTGTAATTCGTATTCTGTTGTCATTAGAATTAATCTTCTCTCTCATCTCAACATCCTCAGCAACTTTTTAGCAAAAAAGGGAGAGAAGGACTAGTCAATACCAGCACTTTTTGTCAAAATGACTAGAAGTCTAATACCCTTTAATTTTGTTATCTTCTGAAAAGACACCCTGTTTCTAATCTTTAAAAGCTTATGTTGTCTTGAGGTCTGGTTGTTTTATACCTCAAAAGGACAGTATGTTTTTTTTTTTTTTAGATCACATGACTTTCTTTAAAAGTCTGTATTAATATGGATCACATAGGCCTTCTTCTTATTAGTATAAGTAGTATCCAAAAATCAAAACAGGATCCAAAAGTACTCACTCACGGCGACACAGGATGGAGGCGGCGATGGCGGAAGAGGTTGGGCGCGGCGACGGCGTCGAAACTTGGATGCGGCGGCGGTAGGCGGTCGGCGGAGATGGCTAGTGGCAGTCGGCGGAGAGCACTCACTGCGAAGATGGCTAGTGGCGGCCGGCGGAACCTCTCACTGACGAGAGTGGCGGTCGGCGGCGAACACACGGGCGAGCAATTAGCTAGGTCGACGGAGATATGTCTGAAGCCTGAAGGAGGAAATTTTGGACCGAGACCTGTCTTTGCCCAATTTTGTCTTAGGGGGAAGACAAAAATTTCATTCCCAATATTTTCTTATAGGGAAATTTTGTCTTATAGAGAAATTTTAATTTGTCTTAGCTTAGAGGGAAATTTCGTAACAAAATATTAGTTTAATTACCTGGGTCGCTACATCCGGTCAATTAAAATAGAACCGGGTATATTGGTACAGAACACGAGATTCATAGATTTTTATAATGTAGATTCAAAATTTCTATACAGTATATTTCTAATTTAAATACAGTTGTATAGATTAATAATTTCTATACAGTAAATTCATAATTTCTATACTGCAGATTCATAATTTCTGTATTGTTGATTCATAATTTCTAAAATGTATAGTTATCAACACTTGGGAATATGAACATCGCAAATTATAAACACAAAGTTCTGTAATTGTGAATATAGATATCTGAGTTATTCAATCATTATGAATATGCATTTCAATTCAAAAATTATGAATATATAGTTTGGTAATTATGAACATAGAGCTAATTAAGATCGCGACAAAAGAAATGAGATATAGCAAACTGTATGGCATCGATCAACTACTCTTTCATATCCATTCTCAACGTGTTCTAGGCATGCCGGAGGGGTTGATTACCAACAGTTTATTTCAACCTTGTTGGTCATGCGCTAGCTGGAAGGGTCGATTACCAACATATAGCTAACCTTAGCTTGTTAGTCATGCGCTAGCCGTAAGGGTCAATTACCAACATATAGCTAACCTTGTTAGTCATGCGCTAGCCGGAATAGTCGATTACCAACCCCGGCCCCTATCATATATACCGCCTTTAACCCCTACACATCATACCGCACCATTATGAACACCATCCCATATTGTTTTTTATACTTGATAATATTATTATTTTTTTGAATTCATAGATTGGTCTTAATTGTAATATAATTGAAAATAAAACTTTAATGAATTTACTTTGAAATTTTGGTGAATAATTTTATATTTAAATATGAACGGAAATAGAACTATTTTGGTAATATACTAGATGTTGCACTTAAGTACACAAGTGTTGCTGTGGCTTGGTGAATTTAGGTTAGTTTATTATGTTAGAGGTCTTAGGTTTTATTCTTCCTAGGGGGAATTTTTTAACTATTTTCTAAAATTGTTGTTTCCTTGTTTTTATTTTATATACCTGTTAAATAATGATGCGCAACGACAACGGTTTTGTCTTTGTAGTGTTGTGTATTCAAATACACTTAAACAAACCGTTGTCTTTGTAGTGTTGTGTATTCAAATACACTTAAAGACAACATACCAAAGACAACGGTTAAATAAAACCGTTGTCTTAAACAAATAAAGACCATGCAAAGACAACATACCAAAGACAACGGTTAAATAAAACCGTTATCTTAAACAAATAAAGAACATGCAAAGCCGTTGTCGTTTTAGTGTTGTGTATTCAAGTGCGCTTAACGACAACACACCAATGACAACGGTTAAATAAAACCGTTGTCTTTTTTTAAAAAAAGAGCGCACAAAGACAACGGTTTTAAACAACCGTTGTCTTTCTAGTGTTATGTATTCCAGTGCGCTTAAAGATAACACACCAACGACAACAGTTAAAAAAACTGTTGTCTTATTTTAAAAAAAAAAATGCACATAGACAACGGTTTTAAAAAACCGTTATCGTTGTGGTGTTGTCTTTTCACAAAATGCACAAAGACAACACACTTATAACAACGGTTAAGTAAAAACCGTTGTCTTTGACAAAAGTGTTGCATCAAAGACAACGGTTTTGGACCAAACTGTTGTCTTTTATACAAAAGACAACACTTTTCTTAAAAACTGTTGTCTTTCTAGTGTTGTCTATGTGCATTTTTCTTGTACTGAGTCAAAACCCAAGAAAAGATTTCAGAGAATCAACTAAGGGGGAGAAGTCCAAGAATCAAGCTGATAGGAGATCAAGATTTTTGCTAAAAATTTGACTAAGGGGGAGAGTGTTGATTCAAAGAATATTAGTCAAATTTTGTATGCAAGAAGGACTACTAGACAATCAAGGAATGAATGAAGGATGTTTCACCAATCCTATTCAAATTTGGATTAAACGCTAATCCTAAATGAATAACGAGAAAGGTGATTATTTAAAGACTCCTTCTCTTCTCTGAAGACTTACGCCTTCATCAATCTATCTTGTGAGGTTTGAGAGTCAATTGAGGAAGAGTTACTAAATTCCCCTAGAAAGTAGTACATGTATTTAGGTTACAATAGTACGATAGGAAAGATCATCTATTGTGTAATCTTTGGTTCCAAACAATGTACCGTTAATATTGAACTTTTAGTGGATTTAGGCAACTTCTCAAATTGAGAAGTGCCTCGCAGATTAGGGCTGTTAGTTACCCAAACTGCGTCCTAAATTATCTGTGTTACAACTTCTGTTACAACATCTCTGTGTGCTCACTACTACAGAATTCGCATATAACGTCGGCTATATAGATAGCCGATGTTAAAGCCTTTTTGTTTTTTTTTTTTTATAAAACATATAACGTTGGCTATTAGAAAATAGCCGACATTATAAATAAAATAAAAATAAATATACTACGATGTCGGCAATCTATTTACTCGACGTCGTAGATTATTTTATTACTTTTTTAAATATTCCATATATAAAGTCAGCTATATCCTAATAGCCGACGTTATATAGTTTTTAAAAACAGATCGAGATTTCATTTTCAGTTCTCCCATCCCAGCGCGCCTTCTCCCTTCTCCCTTCTCCCTTCTCCCACCCATCGAGCTAGATTGCCATTGTGACACCCGGTAATTTTAAGCAATAATATAATTTTGAGAAAATATTATTTTGTTCACCCATAAAATATTTTTGTATGTTGCAAGAAGAATTTTTTGAAATTAATCTTATAAAAATTATTTTGTTATATTTATTTATTATACCTAAAAAGATAATTTCAGGTATAGTATATGCATATATATATTTCTTTCAAAACAATGTACAGGTTAATTTATTTTCAACTCTTTCTTGGCAACAACAATTTAATTTCAAAACCGTATATTGTTTTCCTATATATTAAATATATGTATAATTTGATAAGAGATCACACAAGAGATGAATTGGTGTGGTGGTTTGAGATTTGTGTGTTAAGTTTGAGGTTTTAGGTTCAATTCTTACGAGCTACAAAATGATTGTTTTGTTTTTATTTCGGCAGAGAAAAGGATTAAGGGTTAATAATATTGATGATTGATTAGCAGGGTAAAATGATTTGCAGTTATTATAATGATTGATTAGCAGGACAATTAAGTAAGATAATTATTTGGTATTTATTTAGTATTATAAGAAGGGGGTTACGTAGCAAAATAAATAGGCATAAGGTAAAAGAAAAAAAAAAAAAGAAGGAAAAGAGACGAAAAGAAAGAAGGAAGGAAGAGGAGAGAAAGACAGATAGGAGTTGGAGGTTGTGCAGTTTATAGGGTTGCTACTTGCTAGGAATTATCATTTTGGTAAGATTTCATGTTTACTAAAATTTTATATTTGCTCCAAAGTATATATATATGTTTTTATAATGTGTGAATGTGGTTATGATATGATGTTATATAAATCAAAGTTATATGATTTCTCAAATTATGTGTGATATTATGTAATATTATGGTGACACAAGTACATTTATCGATAAATGGTAACGTTGTGAGTGGTGATTCTCGAAGTATCGAGAATGAGTTTCGACGTGTCGAACCCATGTGTTGTGTAAATGCTTGGCTTGGAAGTTTTGGTATTTATATATATTTATATATTAAAATAATGATCAAATGTGACCAATTTGTGAAAAAAGTGTTATTTTGGACAAGCTACACCATTTATATATGTGGTGAAATCTTATTATTATTCCACGTTCATATTATTACCAACGAAAGTTTGGAAAAGAAATATTTTGATATGAAAGTATATATTTTTTTAATCTTGGAGGATGGTGATATCCAGTGCTGGTGTGAGCCGGAAAACTCACAACCTACCGACTGGAATTTGGTCATTCTACCGGAGTGAGCCGGGAGAACTCACAAAAATATTTTTATTATACCGGAGTGAGCCGGGAGAACTCACAAATTTGAAATTTATCTCAGATATGGAAACCGGAGTGAGCTAGTAGAACTCACATTGAAATTCTAAATTATTTTCATGATTGGCTTATGAGATGCCTCTTGGTGGTTAAGTTGAGAGCTTAAAGACTCTACACTTGGTATCTACTCCTCCTTGATTAATATGTTATATTTTGGAAAAAATGACGTGGAAGGTTTTGGAAAATGATTATTTACTAAGTAATACTTTGTGAAACTCTACTATGTTAATTATACAAAAGTATACATATATTTATATATATAAATGGTTTGCAAAAGTATAAGAATATATAAGTGCTTTATTTGAAAATTATATAAAATCCGAGCCTATTATTTTACGGGGTGAAATGGAACTTACATAGCTTATGCTAATTTTGTCTATATTTTATTTTTGTGTGAAATGATTATTACAGGTGAACATGAATAAGGATTCAAGTTGAGAACGAGTTTAGTCTATTTAAGAATAGACAGCATGGAAGATTTGATATTCTTGAGAAATAATGTTGTATAGTGATTTCAGTTTTATGTTGTTAGTGTTTTTATGTTCAAAAACCTCATATTATAATTGGCAATATTATTATGGCATACTAAGATAGGTTTAGAGTCTGTCCGGTTGGGTCTACAGTTTACTGATCAAGCAGAAGCAACGACAGAAGAACTGACACTGAAGATCTGATTTAGGAAAGCTGTTTCCTTAAGAGTCTTACGCGGTTTTATCAGCTCAGTATGGAAAGACGATCAGCGTATCTTCAAAGAAGGTAATGGACCTAATCAGCTGAGATTACATTCCTCTTTTATAGTCCTACCTTCTACAATCAAAGATCTTTTATGGAGAGTGTTTATAGAAGAATCTATAAGTACCAGTTCTTTAAGGGAACTAGGGTTACGCCAAAAAATAAGCAGAAGAAACACTCCAGATCACTTTGATGAGTCTAGATCTTTGATGGTCATGCACCTTCTCAATACAACATGTTAATGGTGATTAAGCTGATGAACTTGAGAAGATTTACTGCTGCTTAAACGAAAGGACACTAAGATCACACTGTTGTGGGAACAACCTTATAGAGCGTCACTGAAGTGGACTGCATCAGAGCTGGCTCTCCAAGTGAAGGGATTTCATTGGACTTCTGTATGCATGGCTCTCCATCTTCAACAATCCACTAAACCTGTGTAGACTGGGTATATACCTTGTGTGGGGCACTTGGGTAAGATTATTGTATATCTACCTTTGTACATTGGATTATGACTTAGTGGATTGGACGCCTATGTGATCGTCCTCCAGACGTAGATACACACCGTATCGAACTGGGTAAACATTGTGAGTGTTCGTTCTGTGTGTTTGTTTATTTTTCTCTAATGTTCTCTTCATGATCTATCATTACTAAGTAGGAGCTTAACTGAATCAATCAGTATTCTAAGTCAGCAAACTTTTTCTGTTAATTTACGTAATCTGAGGAAATGCAAAATTACATGTGGTATCAGAGCTTTTAAGTCTACATAGTGACTTGATCCGAAGGGCTATCTTAGTTTTGCTTTCTCTCTGTTTTTGTGGAAGTCTATCTGTGTGTTCGTTGGCTGGTTGTTGGTTTCAGGATGGACGCAAGTATGAAACCACCAGAACTAGATGGTCACAACTACTCTTTCTGGAAGGCTCGTATGGAAATATATCTTCAAGCACAAGGAACCAGGGTTTATCGCACCATCCTAACTGGGTGGAGTCGACCTACTACTCCGAATGCACAAGGAGTTGCTGAAGAAAAACCCATGGAGACTTGGACAGATGATGAAATGAATGCCTCTGATCTGAACAACAAAGCACTGAACTCAATTGTTGGATCTCTACATGAATCTGTTTTTACGCTTGTTATAGGGGTAAAAGAGGCTAAACGAGTATGGGAGATTCTTGAAACTAGATTTGAAGGAACCAGTGATGTCAAACAGTCAAAGTTGCAAATGGTTCTGTCAGAGTTCGAAGCTCTCAGAATGACTGAAGACGAAACCATTTCTACCTTCCACAATAGGGTTCAGAACTTGATGAACCGAGCCTCAATTCTTGGGGAACCATTCACTGATGAGAGAGTGGTCAAAAAGATTCTCAGATCTCTACCTAAACGTTTTCGAATGAAAGTAACGGCTATTCAGGAACACACAGGTTGGGAAAAGAAGACTGTCGGAGAACTCATGGGAAGCTTGCACACATATGAACTGGAAGTTCTTGCTGATGATGATGTTGGAAGCAACAAGAAAGGAATGTCTGTAGCCTTTGTGGCTGAAGCTAACCGAGAATCTGACACAGACGACATAGATGATGAAACCCTAGCTCTCCTAACCAAAAACTTCAAGAAAATCTTAAAAGGGTTCAACAGAAAGGGTCAAGGTCAGCCTACAAGAACACAATACAAAGGCAATAACCCTTCATATCAAAAGGTTGAAACAGCACTCTTCTCTCAGAACAATCAATCTCAGACTGGGCGATCGAGACAAAACAGAAGTAGTACCACAGACACAGGAAAACCCCTCAATCGGTCAGTGCAGTGTAGGGAATGTGAAGGATATGGTCACATACAGGCTGAATGTGCAACATATCTTAAAAGGAAAAAGATTATGTCTGTAGCTACTCTTAGTGATGATGAGGAGGAAAATTCAAATGATCAATCAGATGATAATGTAGGAAACTTTGTAGCGTTCTTCACTGCCACAAACATTCAATCAGACGGAGATCAATCAGATGGAGAATCATACATATCAACAGATGATTTTGAAGAGAGACATATTCAACTTGAGGCAGAATTTGCAAAACTTATCGCTAGCTGGGAACAACTTGTGAAAGTGAATAAGAATCTGAATGACGATCTAAAGCCGAAAGATGATCTTATAAAGAAACTGAATGCTGAACTGGTCATAAAAGAAGATCTCATCACTCAGATACGGTCCAGAGAAGGTAAATTAATCAAGGAGTTGGAGAGCTTGAAGAAAAATATACAGATGATGGACACCACATCTACCTTAGATAAAATTCTAGACTCTGGCAGAAATCCTAATGATAAAAAGGGTCTGGGATTTGAGCAAGGAGAATCTTCGAACAACACACCAAAGTTCATCAAAGAGGGAATGTCTAAGACCACAACATATCACAGGTATGAACAAGGACAATCATCTCAGTCAGTACAAATCAAGAAAAGGAGATACGGTACTAACACTGACTAGGACAAATCAACTTATCAATCTCATTATTCGAGATTCAAAAAAAAGATTGTCAAAGTTAAATATTATACTCCCATTTGTCACTACTGTCACACAAAAGGTCATACTCGTCCCGAATGCTATTTTTTTTTACAGAGATCAAAGGAAGGAAAAATATCAGAATAAGACTATTACACCATTCACTAGACAGGTTTGGGTCAGAAAGTCAGAAGTTATCTGTTATCCCACCATTGTTCTAACTGCATCTACAACTGATGCTAGATGGTATTTCGACAGTGGTTGTTCCAGACATATGACAGGAAACATTAAATGTCTGATGGCTGTTCAACCTAGCAGTGGAGCTGTAACATTTGGAGATGGACAAAAGGGTAAAATCATTGGGAAAGGTGTCCTAAATGTTCCAGGTTTACCTAAATTAGAAGAAGTCTTGCTAGTCAGTGGGTTAAAAGCGAATCTTATTAGCATCAGTCAGATATGTGATCAAAATTGGAATGTATGCTTCGATCGTAAGTGCTGCAGAGTGAGTGACAAAGCAAATCAACTTGTCATGGAAGGAACTCGGTCTTCAGACAACTGTTATGTTTTGACAAATGAAACTGCTTGTTACCTATCCAAATCTGATGAATCAAAACTCTGGCATAGAAGACTGGGTCACATAAATTTCAGAGATATGGATAAGTTGATAAAACTGGAAGCAGTAAAAGGTGCACCTAAGATCAGAATTGATCCAGAGAAAATTTGTGGCGCATGTGCTATTGGGAAACAAATCAGAACTCCACACAAAGCAGTAAGAGGTATCACCACTGAGAAATGTCTAGATCTTGTCCATATAGATCTCATGGGGCCAACACAGACTGAAAGCATTGGAGGAAAGAAATATATATTTGTGTGTGTAGACGATTTCTCTCGATACAGCTGGGTTTACTTTCTGAGAGAAAAGACAGAAGCCTTCAAGGCCTTCAAGATTCTGTGCATAAGAGTTCAGAAGGAAAAAGATGAGTCTATTATAAAAGTTCAGAGATTGAGGAGTGATCATGGAAAGGAATTTGAGAACTCACTATATTCAGACTTCTGCTCCGAGCATGGTATCTCACATGAGTTCTCAGCTCCTAGAACTGCTCAACAGAATGGAGTGGTGGAAAGAAAGAACCGAACGCTACAGGAAATGGCTAGAGTTATGCTACATGCCTCACATATGCCACAACGTTTCTGGGCTGAAGCAGTACACATAGCGTGTCATACTATAAATAGGGTCTACCTTAGACTAGGAACGACGAAAACTCCATATGAGATCTGGAAGGGAAAGAAGCCAAATCTGAAATACTTTCATGTGTTTGGGACAAAGTGCTATGTGCTGGCTGACAGAGAACAAAGAGGGAAGTTCGAACCCAAAAGTGATGAGAGCATCTTTCTTGGATACTCTCCGAACAGTCGTGCCTACAGAGTCTACAACAAGAGGACTCAGTCTGTGATGGAGTCAGTAAACGTGGTTGTCGATGACAATCCAGAAGAACCAGTGGACTCAATAGTGATAGAGTCACCTCTACGTGATTCAGATGCAAGTAATAACAACAGTCAGCTCAAACCACAAGATTCATCAGATGAAGATCAAGAAAGTTCGGAACAAGAGATAGATCTCATGAATGATGTTGGTAAAGACAAACCTACCAGAACTCAGAAAAACCATCCATTAGATAACATTATTGGATGGAATGAAAACCTACCAGAACTCAGGTTGGTAAAGACAAACCTGTCAGATGGAATGAAAACCAGAAGCAGAATAAGAAATAATCTGACAGAAATATCTGGGTCTTACTGCTATACCTCAAAGATAGAACCCAAAAATGTCAAAGAAGCTCTACAGGATGATCTGTGGATCAATGCAATGTAGGAGGAGCTACATCAGTTTGAGCGGAATCAAGTCTGGAATCTTGTACCAAGACCTGATGGTGTCAACGTAATAGGAACGAAGTGGATCTTTAAAAATAAAACTGATGAAGCAGGGAATATAGCCAGAAACAAAGCTCGGTTAGTAGCTCAAGGTTATACACAGATTGAAGGGTTGACTATGACGAGACATTTGCTCCTGTAGCTAGACTTGAGTCAATCAGAATCTTGCTGGCTGTTGCCTGCATTTTGGGATTTACATTATATCAGATGGATGTCAAGACAGCGTTTCTGAATGGGCATCTCTATGAAGATATCTATGTGGCTCAACCTAAAGGTTTTGAAGATCCAGAACGTCCTTCGTATGTCTATAAGCTTCGAAAAGCTCTCTATGGCCTTAAACAAGCCCCACGGGCCTGGTATGAACGTCTGACACGGTATTTGCTCCAGCACGGATATAAAAAAGCGGAAGTGTTGACAAAACTCTGTTTGTCAAAACGACTGGAAGTCATGTAACCATAGCTCAAATCTATGTTGATGACATTGTGTTTGGATCAACCTTGCAGAAATACACTGATGAGTTGGTAAAAGTCATGGAGGAAGAGTTTGAAATGTCCATGGTTGGTCAACTGACATATTTCCTAGGTCTACAAGTCAAGCAAAGTTCTGAAGGATACTTTATTTCACAAGAAAAGTATGCTAAGAATCTTGTCAAAAAGTTTGATCTGGAATCATGTAAACCATCTAGAACACCGATCTCCACTTCTACAAAAGTATCGAAAGATGAAACTGGTATATCAGTGGATAACACAGTCTATCGTAGCTTGATAGGCAGTCTGTTGTATCTAACAGCCAGTCGACCAGACATAATGTTCAGTGTTGGAATCTGTGCAAGGTATCAATCTGACCCAAAGGAATCACATTTGATAGCGGCAAAACGCATTCTAAAATACGTGAAAGGAACGATACAGTATGGACTCTGGTATTCCAAGGATAGTGAACTGAATCTGGTTGCATATTGTGATGCTGATTGGGCAGGGAATATTGATGATCGGAAAAGTACTTCTGGAGGATGCTTCTTTGTTGGGAAGAACTTAGTATCATGGTTAAGTAAGAAACAGAACTCTATCTCACTAAGCACTGCAGACAGAATACATAGCCGCAGGTGGTTGCTGTACTCAGTTGGTTTGGATGAAACAGATGTTTCTGGATTATGGTCTTACACAAGGAACAATGACACTCTTTTGTGACAATGTCAGTGCTATTAACATCTCCAAGAATCCTGTTCAACATTCCAGAACGAAGCATATTGACATCAGGCATCACTACATCAGAGACCTGGTTGAATCCAAGGAAATTGAGTTGGAATACATTCAGACTAAGCCACTGGATGCTAATCGTTTTGAAATTCTCAGATCTGCTCTGGGAATTTGCAGAATTGACTGACTAAAGCAGTTGGTCCGTCAGAGAGGAGTTGGTTTAATACGGGTCAGTGTTATGACTTTGAATTTCCTTAAAGACTCCTCTCTTTTTATGTTAAGAAGATCATCTAAGCTTATTCTTCTAAGAAGATATCTTAAAAGATCTCAATGCTTTTTGAATTTCAAATTCCCTTGGGTTCCGTTTCCTTCCTAAAAAGGAGCTGTACCGTTGTGTCCATCAATCACTTCTGCATGATATTTTGACTTGCCGCATTAATTAGGGTCATCACCCTTAAGCCTATATGATACCGGGTCAAGAAGAGAGAACTCACCTCAGCTCTCATCTCTCCATTTACCGTGCTTATCTGCTCTCGGTGTTTTATTCTTCTTCTCGCACTTAATCTTAAATGGCGGACCCCGTAAAAAACATCATCATTAAGCTTGGAAGCAAGGTACACCCTCCGGCGGCAGCCCTCAAACACATTCAGACACTTCTACAGTTGTCTATGAAGAAGAAGCTCAAGCTTGATCCTCTGCTTCGCGACGAGATTCTGGTGACTGTTATGACCAACTACCCGGAATTTTATGCTGAATGGTCGGCAGATGATGTAACTGAACTTCTTGTGTTGGTCGCCAAAGCCAGTGATGACGTCTCTCCAGTGTTTATTCCAGAACCCTTCGATGGAAATCGGGTCGGGGCATTCCTTCAATTTTTTGCTCAACGTGCCCTACAATCTGTTGAAGAAGCTCGACGACAAGAGGAGTCCCAAGCTCTGTATCTTGAAGCTGCTCAGAGAGAAGCAACACACAGACAGGAGATTCTTCGACAACGGGTATATGATTCTGAAAGCCCTATTGAAATTTCTCCTGATAGACCTGTTGATTCTTCTATTCCATCGTCTGTGTCTGTTTTGCCTGAAAATCAATCTTCTTTGGGTTCTGAGAAGTCCCCTGTGAATGTTGATCCTTTATCTTTGCCTGTGACTAATTTTGCTGGTGAAAAATCTGATGCGTTACATGTGTCTCATGAGAAAACAAAGTCCTCTGATGAGCCAAATCCACTGAGTCTAGTTGTTTATGCTTCTGAGAACATTGCTCTGCCTCCGTCTGAAACTGTTTGTGTCTCTTAAGAATCTTGTCTTGCTGTTGATCCTCCTGCCTTACCTGCAATTGTTAAAACTGTTGATTTATCAAGTCCCCACAAGTCTGAGAAAATAGGTGGAGTTCCTATTTACACTGCAACATCTTTGGGAGAAAGCCTGGAACATGTGCGACATTTTGATGGGTTACCATCTGCTTCGATCCCTCAACCTTATCGAGTGATACACCCTTCAGAATCCTCCAGTGAAGATGATAAGATTCTGGCTGAGGTGTATGTATCCCAAGCACCTTCTTCTGCTGCCCCTACTGTTGAGGGAACTGCTCATCCCGATTCCACGAATTTCAGAATTCGAGAGATATCAAATATTGTTGGGAGCTCATCTGCAAATGTCTCTGATTCTAGCCACTCGGTGACTCCTGTTCAGCCCCCATCCAGAGAAACAAGACGGACAAAAAGGAAGAATGTTCCAACGAAGGTTGTTGTTGATACCAGTGCTGATAATGTTGATGTATCAGCCTGTGAAGAAGAAAGTCGACTGAGACTGCTAATCCTGAAGGAGACCCACCTATCCACCAAGTTTTCAAGACTCTACGTTCCTCTGTTAAGCAACAAGGCACTACTGCTGCTCAAGCTTCTTCTGCACCAACCCCCTCTGTCAGAAAAGGTAAACCTACCACAAGGTCAAGAGGTCGAAGTGTAACTCCGGAGGTTCCACCTATTGAAGGAATTGATACTACTGTTTACAAACCTCAGTTTGTATCTCCTACTGCACAAACAAAATGGGCCACTATGGTCAGAAAAGAGCTGATTGTTCAAAGAACTGTGGATAAGAATCAACTGAACTCCGTTTGCGACATCCTGCCCTTGCTGAATGAAGTTGGTCTTTTGAAAACTGTTACAGATGTTTGCCCTTACTCCAAGCTGCTCACATATGAGTTCTATTGCAATCTCAGTGATGAGATTGACAGTCTCACAGGGCCACGACCGATGCAAATCTTCATCAGAGGGAAGTGGTATGATTTTGGGCCAGCTGTGATAAATAAATACTATGGCTTACCTACAGTGCAAGAAGAAGCTATTACTGAATGGGATGTGGTGGCCAAAACTCTTACTGGTGGACATACTACATCTTGGCCTACAGGAGATAAGGACTATTTGCTGAGTTCGCATCTCACGTCTAGATATGTCATCCTACATCGCCTGGCTCTACACAACTGGCTTCCATCAGCGCATTTCAACACGGTTGGCAAGCTTCTGGCAGGGTTCTTATTTTGAATTGGAACTAAGATGCAGTGTAATTTGGGCAAATGGATTTTTTATCATGTTCTAACTCTGGTTCATCCCCGGGAACAGAAGGTAAGACTACCGTTTTCAAATCAGATTTTTGGCATCCTTACCTCTCAGGGTCTTAAGCCTATGCCCAGCGAAGTGATCAGTCCGACGCTGCTTTACACTGTTGATAAACGTCTTCTTTCTGGAGATCATATTAATGATGTCGTTCCTGTGACTGCCCCATCCAATTCGGAACCTGATGCTGTGAATGATGAGTCTCCACATGCTAAAGATGAGAGGCTTTCCGAACAATTGAAGGCGAGAGTTGCTGATCTTGAGACGGTGCACGGTATCATTGCCAAGCAACTGACTGGTGCGCGCACTGAGCTAGCTACTGTTCTTCTCTGCATGAGCCTGTCTGATACTGCTGCTGCTGCTGAGGATCCCGTGAAGTCTGACTGTGACTCTCCCTCAAATGTTTAATCTTTGGCTACCATTGGCAAAAAGGGGGAGTAGTTTTTTGTGATCGAGTACTTTCTGGCCCTGGCTAGGCGTTATGTTTTGATGTCGTTTTCTTTTTTGTTTTTAGACTGCTTTGGATCTTATGTTCTTTTTATCCTATGTAATCAGTTTGGACACTTGGGTTGCTTCTTTTAATAACCTATCTTAGTTCTTTTTATATAGTTGAGTTGTTTTGCCAAATAATAGCCAAAGGGGGAGTTTGTTAGTGTTTTTATGTTCAAAAACCCCATATTATAATTGGCAATATTATGTCCGAAGGGCCACACTACACCTCCTTCCGCTTCCGCCGCAGCGCACTGTCGGTAAGCTTTTATTTTTTATTTTTTTACTTTTTAATTATTATTAATTTATTTCGAATTTAATATTAATTTAGTTTAAATTTTAGTAAATAATGTTGATATATTTGTATTTTAAGGTTTATTGGTATTATATTTCGAATTATTATTAATTTATTTTGAATTTTAGTAAATAATGTTGATATATTTGTATTTTAGGGTTTATTGGTATTATATGTCGAATCATTATTAATTTATTTTGAATTTTAGTAAATAATGTTGATATATTTGTATTTTAGGATTTATTGATATTATATTATGATTTATTATTAATTGATTTTGAATTTTAAGCATTATTGTTATATTTTGAATTTAAGAAGTTTAAAGGTAAACATAAATATTAAAGTGTTGGTCCCGATAAGGTGGTGAAAGTCTAGAGGGGGGGGGGGGGGTGAATAGACTTTCAAGCTTTTTCAAAAACTAAATAACTCTTTGGTAACTTCAACTCTAAATAACAAGTAAATAGAGTAAGTTTGAACTGCACAGCAGAATAGGTAGTATGTAAAGAGTTATGCCCAATCAATAATTCAAATGCGCATGTAAGATGAGTACAGATGATATGTAAAGTGACAGAGATATCTTGAATATATAAAGGAGATGGTGCACTCAATATATAATAATAATATTCAAGATTGTAAATAAATATCGTATCACGTTGACCGTGTAACGAATGTTACATGCAACACGTCAAACTTGCTTAGAATAATTCAAAATTTAAGCTTGAGAAGTTTGAGTCACATGCATACGTGAAAACACACTAAACCCGAAAGGTTAAGATTAACTGTGAATAGTAAACGGGTTAGTCGGATAAGATAGATAGATAGAGCAAATTATGTAAGTGCAGTATGTAAATGAGAGAGGCAATTTATAGTGGTTCGGAAGTGGCGTAATCTTCCTAGTCCAATTTTCTCCTTTCGCGTCTAGGAGAAATTCACTATTTTCCACACACAGTTACAATAGTGAATAAGCGCTACACAAGCACTTCTTCCGGATGTTTTGCACACAGCTACACCCAACTCCGAGTGTCTCGCACACAGCTACACTTAACTCCGAGTATTTCGCACACAGCTACACTCAACTCCGAGTATTTCGCACACAGCTATACTCAACGCCAACTAAGTGTCTTGCACACAGCTACACTTAGCAACTGCGAGTGTTTTGCACACAGCTACACTCACTAGAGTATTTTGCACACAGCTATACTCTATCTACAATTACAAATACAAAGGTAATTGTATCTCTCTCCAACTAGATTTGAGACTATTCAGACTAAGTCTCTAAGAATATTTGAGCACTTGCACTTTTTGAATTTTGCACTTTGTTTATCCGTGTGTATTACACCTCTGCTCTATCTTCAAGTCTTCATGGTTTTTTTTATAGGCAATCAAATATATCCGTTGGAGTGGGATAATTTGATATTTGAAATTTGAATCTTCATAGCCTGATATTGTTGACAATAGTAGGTCTTCAATTTTGATTTGATTGTCAACTTGCCTGACAAAATAATATCTTATCTCCAATTGATTTGTTCAAAATATTATTTTGTTGTCATATTGAATATCCAACGTATCTTTGAAATAAATTCATCTGATAGAATTTATTTCTAGGATAAATTTTTATATTCATTTCTTCATGAGTATTTTTCCGTTCTGATCAAATGTCTTTCAGGCAATTTTGGATTCTTGTGGCATGTGGGTAGACTTTAGAATAAATTCCTTCGAATTTATCCAATTTCTGATCATCTTGCTCCTTTGACTTGAACATCGTGCTTCTTGACTTGAACATTGAGCTCCTTTTCAGACATTGTGCTCCTTTTGAACATTGTGCTCCTTAGCACACATTGTGCTTGTTAGCATACATCGTGCTCCTTGGCACACATCGTGCTTGTCCGCATTGTGCTCCTTTTTAAGAACATTGTGCTCTTTTGGACATTGTGCTTGTCCGAAAATTTAACTTGTAAAAATAAGTCCTTGGGGGGGGGGGGGGAATTGATCTCGGGTATAATTACTTTAAGTAAAGACTTTTACCATTTCACCGTTAGGCTCATCCGATCATTCTTTGCAACGCCATTCCTTTATCCTTCTTTCTCGGATGAATACTTGTAGGACCAAAATTAATTTTTTCAAAATTAATTTTGTTCTTCCTATGGTAGATTCCTTTTGACTCGATATTCTGATTTATGATGATTGTACTAAAAGAACTAAAAACTAAGGGGATCTAAAGTACATTTGGCTCATCAAAACATACAAAAATATTCCTATCATAAAGTCCTTATTTTTGCAAGAATCCAAGTTATTTTTAGCCTGTATCATTTATGCAAAATTATATTAGAACACTTCTCTTGAAATGCAGTCTAATTAATGTTTAAATTTATAAACTGGCTCCCTCATTATATGCAAAATTATATTAGAACACTTTAAGTTTGTTGTAAAAGTGTTGATCTTAATCTTATCTGGAGTACTTGGTTATGTAGAATTGGTAACTTTTCAATGATAACTAGTTTCTAAATGATTTTTTGTTAAATCTACCTACTAAATTTTCAATTGTTCAGTAGGCTTTGATATTAAATTATTATTATTTTAGATTTTAGATATTTGTTGAATTAATGTTAACAAAAGTTTAATTAGAGTTAATATTGTTTTAGATTGACTTGTGATTGATAAAAGTTGGATGAATGCTTCTCGGGTTAGTACGGAATATGAAGTCGAAGTTAGAGAAATTTTATACTTTGCAAAACGTCATCTCCCAAATAATAATGGGATGCTTTTTTTGTCCTTGTAAGAAGTGTTGTAATCTAAAAAAAATTAGGTATAAAGGGCATATATGATCACTTAATTTGTGATGGAATTATTCCAAGTTATACAAAATGGATATGGCACGGTGAAGGAGGAGGATGGACTAGTACATCTAACATGTATGTTGACAATGAAGCAAATGAAGATGATGAGTCTGAAGATAGGTTGGAGGAAATGTTTCATGATGTTGGAGAAGAGTTCACCAATAGGATGAATTATTAAATGATTCAAAACAACCTTTATGGCCAGGGTGTAGTAAATATACTCGGTTATCCGCTGTTTTGAAATTGTTCAACTTAAAAGCTGGGAATGGATGTAGCGACAAAAGCTTTACTGCTTTACTTGATTTAATAAAGGATATACTTCCAGAAGATAATGAACTCCCGAAGAGTACATATGATGCGAAGAAGATTTTGTGTCCCATGGGTATGGAGTATGAAAAGATACATGATTGTCCTAACGATTGCATATTGTTTAGGAATGATTACAAAGAAATGAATTCATGTCCAATCTGTTGGGCATCTCGGTTTAAAATAAGAGAGCATGTTGTTGGTAAGGTAAGTTTGAAAGGGCCACCAGCTAAAGGTATGTGGTATCTCTCAATTCTTCTAAGATTTAAGCGTATGTTTGGAAATCCAAGCGACGAGAAAAATTTAACATGGCATGCAGATCAAAAAATTTCTGATGGCAAGCTTCGACACCCGGCTGATTCTCCTCAATGGAAAACCTTTGATAATACTTTTCCTGAATTTGGCCATGAGTCGAAAAATTTAAGACTAGGACTTTGTACTGATGGTATAAACCTTCGCGGGAACCTAAGTAGCAAGCATAGCTCGTGGCCAGTCATGTTAGTGATTTATAATCTACCTCCATGGTTGTGTATGAAACGCAAATATATATTATTGTCATTGATGATTTCTGGCCCAAAACAACCCGGTAATGATATAGATGTCTTTTTGCCACCGTTGATTGAGGACTTGAAAAAATTGTGGGATGAAGGTGTGTTAGTGTTTGATGCATACCGGAAAGAGAATTTAAGTTGCATGCTATGCTTTTTTGCACCATCAATGACTTTCCAGCTTATGGAAACCTGCCTCGGTATAGTGTAAAAGGGCATAAGGCATGCCCTATATGTGAAGATAATACATGTTATTATCAACTTGTCCATGGTAGAAAGACAGTCTACTTGGATCACCGGAGGTTTCTTGATAGAGTTCACCCTTATAAGAGATTAAAAAAGACTTTCAATGGGCAACAAGACTATGCAGATGCTCCACAACCATTGATTGGAATTGAAGTTTATGAACGTGTAAAAGGTATAAATGTTACTTTTGGTAAAACTCAAAAGCTTAAATCTCAAAGAGGTAAGAGATCAAGAGCTAATGTTGAGATACCTCCAAATGAAAAGAGTCCATGGAAAAAGAAATCTATATTTTTTTATCTTCCATATTGGAAGACATTAGATGTGAGACATAGCATTGATGTGATACATGTGGAGAAAAATGTGTGTGATAGTCTTGTTGGAACTCTTTTAGATATAAAAGGTAAGACTAAAGATGGACTCAATGCTAGATTAGATTTGATTGAAATGAACATACGAGCTACATTAGCTCCACGCTAAGGGGATAAGAAGACATATTTGCGTCCAGCTTCTCATACTTTATCAAGAAAAGAGAAAATAATTTTTTGTGAGTGTTTACGTGGAGCTAAGGTACCACAATGGTACTCATCAAATATAAGAACACTTGTGAATATGCAAGATTTAAAATTGGTGGGGTTGAAATCTCATGATTGCGATGCCTTAATGCAGCAACTATTGCTAGTGGCTATT